CCCCCCACCCACCAGACCCTGTGCCTGCAGCTGAGGGCATCACCTGCCACGATGGAGGGTCATGTTGGCCAAGCATTGCACCACGGCCATGTCAGACTCACATTGGCCTTGGTGCATCCCCAGAGGCATTTGCACCACGGTGGTAGGATCATTTACTACCCATCCCCTACATTTTTAGCTCTAACAGTCTAGAAAACCAGTGAAATCAGTGAAAAACAGCTAAGCAGCAATTCCTTGGAGAAGCAGGTTGGCCCCTTTCCATCTCAAATGTCCTACTAAGCCCATTAGCAACCTACAGGACTCAAGGTCCTGTTGCAGTTGTGCTGCAGCTTGGCAAATGTTGCCCATGATTTGGGGGGTCAAAGGCAAAAATCCTGTCTTGAGGCTGCTGCTAACCCTGGGAATTGTCAGCCCAGCCTCAGGAGCAGAGCAGATTTAACAGCCTCTTCATGTTCTGCGTGGGATTTTGAATGGGTTTAATTCTATTTTATTGTTGTGATTTAAAAAGTACTCTTCAAGTTAAAATTGCAGCTCAGTCTAGATTATTCTCAGTGCTTTCTCAATTTACAAGTTAAAATAAAATCCCCCCTCCTCCACCCCAAACTCTCCAGTGCAAAATGTGGAGCTGAGCCACATGCAGAGGCCTGAGAGCCTCCTCTGTGAGAGCAGAGAGAAGTGTTTCTGCAGGGAACACAGTAGATATTGAGCTGTAAAAATCAGGAACAAGCTAGGGGTGACCACAGAAAGTGAGGAGTACCTTAGAGAGGACTTTGTAGTGTGATGGAGCCAATTAGGTCCAAACTCAGGCTGAAATCTCTGCCCACATGTAGAGGCTGCTGCACTGAGCCTATTCCACCCTGATTTTGTGCTCTGTCTTGCAGGAAAATCAAGACCAATTATTTCATAGTCTCTCTTGCCTTTGCTGACCTGCTGGTGTCAGTGCTGGTGATGCCCTTTGGAGCCATCGAGTTGGTTCAGGACAACTGGATCTATGGAGAGATGTTCTGCCTGGTCCGAACGTCGCTCGATGTCCTGCTCACCACAGCATCAATCCTGCACCTCTGCTGCATCTCACTGGACAGGTATGAGTGGCAGAGGAGAGAGGATAGTTATAGCTGCTCTAAGTCAGGCACTGGCATAGGTTTGCCCAGGGAGGTGGTGGAGTCACCATCCATGGAGATGTTTAAGAGGCATCTGGATCTGGTGCTGGAGGATCTGGTTTAGGGATTACCGCAGTGACAGGTTAAGGGTTGGACTTGATGATCTTAGAGGTCTCCTCCAGCCTTGACGGTTCTATGATTCTATTAGTAGGAGTAGGACATGATGCTGTCCCTTCTCTGAAGTAGAGAAGAGAAGCTGTTGTGTCCCTGTGCTCCTGACACAGCCTGGGCTGGGCTGGCAAAGGGCTTGGGGACAGCCTTGGCTCTCTGACTCTGGAGATGTGTGGCTTGGAGTTGATGCTCAGACTTAGGCTGTAAAAGTTTTCCAGCAGAAACTTGAATTTCTTGGACGATTTGAAGTTGTTTTGGGTTTGGTGGTTGTTTTTTTTTTCCCAAGGTGAGAAGTGACTCCCTAACTGTGTTAAAAGGACAGAATAGATGAGGAGTTAGTGGTGAATAGCCATGAGAGGATCAGAGCAGGTAGATGAATGACTGAGTTTCTGTGAAGGATGACCTTTTGACCTTGACCTTTGAGTTGGTTTGGGCTGGTTATGGGTGTCAGGCTGGTTTAGCAGGTACCAGGATGGTGTTTGAGATGCTATAGAGGTTTTTGAGGTGCTGGGAGAGATTTGGGCACGCTGCAAGGGGTTTGGGGATTCCAAAGGGTGGCAGAGGCTCAAGGCTTGAGATGCCCATCATGGATCCATTCTCCACCCCCAGTGCTTCCCTGGTGTTGGCAGCTGGGCTGGAGGAGCAGCTCTGCTTCCCTCACAGGCTTTGACTTCATTTTTGCTGCTGTTGCCCTTGTGTTCATTCAGACTTTCTGGGATTGTGCTGCTTCTAGTTGTGCTGCTTTTTCTGTGATTTATCTCTTTCCTGTCAGGGAATACAACTGGGAGTTTGGGGGTTTTTAAGAAAACTCTGTGTTTAATCTAACCCTCAGAAGTCGGTTTGGAAAGTGATTTCCTTCAACATGTTCAGCAAGTGTTGCTTGAAAAGGCTTTTATCTGATAACATCTTCTATCTATTTCCATTGCTGCCTCTGAAAGCAAGGAGAAAGCAGTCAGCATTCAGGGTCTCATTCTCCAAGGCACTGGAGAAAACCTGGAGAAATCACCACAGGATAAACTGATTTTCCTGCTCAGGCACAGGGTGCCAAGAACTGCAGAGCCTTAGAGCCCCTCAGTGTTCCCTGACTGAGGGTTTTTCCGAGTCAGCCTATCTCAGGACTCACTGAATGCTAATTTTGTTGCCACTGGTTTATGCTTTTCCATCACCTCTTTGATATTCTCCCAGAATAGAAAGATTTACCCTTGAATTATTTATTTCCTGCATGTTTTATGCAGACATGGCCATTCTTTGTGCCTCTGCCATACAAATCATTGCATTGTATATGAACAGACCCAAAAGCAATGAGAGACTCTCCTAACCCATCAGGAAAGGCAATTTCCATCTCCAATATTTGCAGTACAATTTGAGATACAATTACTTCTGAAAGTCTTTAGGGGGGGAAACCAACAGAGAAATAAACAGGTGCTAAGTGTCTGTGGTTTTGGGCTTGGATACACATCTGGCACCTCTGTTCTTCAGGCAACTAGAGCATCCTCTCTCTGCCTCCTCCACCCTCCTGGCTGTGTTCCAGCCTGGGAAACTTCCCTCCAAGACTGTGTCTGTGCTGGGCTCCAGGTACAGTTTGCCTGGTGTGTTCCAAACATTTCCAAGCCCAACAAACCATCCCTGGCTGTGTGTTTGTCCATCCAACACTGATCTTACTGGAATTCAACCATATCCCATAATCACTGCTCAATAAGGGCTAAAGCAAAGCAGCTGCATCCGAAGACTGTTGGAGCAGCAGAGTGACAGATGCTCATTGTGCCATTTACAAACATTAATTAACATTAAAGGACTGTTCAGACATCAAATTAGCACAATCCCTTGAGGGAGATGATGCGTTTTAGAGGCTCCCAAGCCCTGAAGCTCTGCACTGTGTCTGTGTGGAGAAGCAGCTCTGACCCTGCACAGGGTGGGATGGAGTGTGGTAGGACCTGACATGGGTAGAGAGAGGTGAGGAATGTTCTCTCATCAGGGAGAGGACTGGAGGGAATGGCCTTGAGCTGAGCCAGGGCAGAGTCAGATTGGATGTTAGAGAAATATTTTCCCTGTGAGGGTGTTCAGGCACTGGAATATTGCCCAGGGAGGTGGTGGAGTCACCATCCCTGGAGATGTTTAAGAGGCATTTGGATCTGGTGTTGGAGGATCTGGTTTAGGGGTTCCAGGAGTGACAGGTTAATGGCTGGACTTGCTGACCTTAGAGGTCTCCTCCAACCTCAATGAGTCTATGATTCTCTAAGTAGCAGTATGTGCAGGGGCACTGGTTGGTTGCTGCCTCTACCTGTTGCCTCCTGCTCCCAGTGCTCCAGCACATCACTCCATGCTCATCCCTTTTGCACAGGGTCAAGGACAAGGCATGATGAATCATTTGGCTCCCCAAAGGATGCCCAAACCATGGTGGGGCTCGAAGTCAGGACCATGACATCTCTTTGCAGGACAGGGAGAAGCAGCTGTGCCCAGCAGTGCTCTGGGAAACCTCTACTGGCTGTCTAGGGACACAGGGAGGTTGTTAGTGGGGACACTTGTTAGGCTTTAAATAGCTGTCAGGAAGTAATGATGAGGCAGTCAACAATCTGATTACATGGCACAAATTCCAGCTGAAGTCCTGACCCAGGCCATGGAGTGCTCAGTTCAGCTGGAAAGGATTCCCATCTCATACAGCTCCCAGAGCTCAGGGGGAGGAAGAGAGAGGCAGCATAGGAAGGGACTGAGCAAGGGCAAATGGAAAGTGTCCACGAGGGATGTGAGAGGCAACACCAAGTGTGGAGTTATCCCTGTTGGCCAGAAAACTAACCCAGGCTTTGCACAATTCAGGCCTGAGAGCATTAAGGAAAACCTCAGAGCAGATGGCCATGGCACAGCCTGAGGACTGCACTGGCCTTTATTAATCTCCACAAACTCTCTAGAAATATGGTGATTTATTTTGCTGCCAATAACCCTCCCCAACCCCCTGAGCACAGGGCGACCACGGAGGAGTCCTCTATCTCCATTTGGCAACAGAGGTTTGTTTGTGTTCCTGGCTAAATTTATCCAGCCCCAATTAACTGTTCTCTTTAGCATTTCTCTCAGTGGAATTATCTCAACACCAGCAGGCTGTTGTTTTTCTAATAAGAATTTAATTTGGTTAGATATAATCATTTTAGGACATTTTCTCTTCCTGGCCCAGCGATGCAGAACTTTGTTGTATTTGGCTCTGTCAGAGCCCAAAGCTGATTTGCTCACTCAGAAAAGGGGAAATAGAAAGAGCTGCTTCTTCCCAAAAATGTTAAGACCTGGTTTTGCAGAGGCCAAAACCTGCTTTCCCTGAAATAGCAGCACCAGGAGCACTGGGTTCATTTCACACAGGCACAAATGAACTGAGGTTGTAGCTCCCAAGGTTCATCACTTGGTCTAGTTCAGCTGAGAACTCTGGGCCAGTCTGGATTCCCTGAGGGGAAGGAGGAGTGTGCAAACCACCCTTGGATTTGGGGTTTGTGGGGAGCCACAGCAGAGGCCCTATAAAACAAGGGGATACTCCAAAATAGCCAAATCCTTATGTATAACTTGTGTCCCCTGAGGAGAAGCAGGATGAGAGATTGGGTTTGGTCAGCCTGAGAAGAGAAGTTTGAGGTGACCTAATGGTGACCTGTCAGTGCCTGAAGGAGCTACAGGGAAGATGGAGAGAGACTATTGATAAGGGCCTGGAGGGAAAGGACAAGGAGGAATGGCTCACACTGACAGGGAGGAGGTTTAGATGAGATTTTTGGAAGGAATTGTTCCCTGTGAGGTGCTGAGGCTCTGGCACAGGTTGCCCAGAGAAGCTGTGGCTGCTCCTTCCCTGGGAATGTTCTAGGCCAGGTTGGATGGGGCTTGGAGCAAACTGGGCTGGTGGGAGCTGTCCCTGCCCATGACAGGGGGTGGAACTGGATGAGCTTTAAGGTCTTGCAACCCAAACCATCCTGTGATTGTGTGATTCAGCAGCATCTCTCTTCTGACAACTGTCCCTGTCATCCACAAGAGTTTCCACCAGTGCAGTTCAGACTCACCAGCACTGACTGCCCTGGGTGGCACCTCCAGCCCCTCCACAGGGCTCAGCCTCCTCTCATGGCCAGGCTAACAACTGGTGGAGCCTCCTTTTGGTGTTTCTTTGGCCTCTGTTTCCCTAGGAACTCACCAGCAAACCATTCCCACCTCGGTGTTCAAGACAGATACAGGCAGTGCCTGTGTGACTCCTGCACCCTTATTTGGGATAGAGCCAACAGCACCCACAGTTTTCCCAGCCTTTTGTAGTCTTTTTTTTTTTAAATCTAGGTTATTTAATACACAGAATATTATTCTCCAGAAGTATTCAGTAAATGTTCCTTGGCTCATTCTGGCCCCAGTGATGACAAAACATATGGTATGTATATAATGTGGCATATGCAGCTGACAGCAAATGGGTTTATGTGTGGGCCACCCCCAGAGCTGGGCTGGGTAGTAAAGGTGGGGGTGGATTTGTCTGGCTATGAGATCTAAAGAGCTCCTTGCATGCTCACAGCTCAAACACAATTGTATTGCAAACCAGGGAGATGCTTTAATTTTTCTCCCAGGGCAAGGAATTATCTCCTGCAGCTCTGTAATTATGTTTCTGTAATGCTCAGGAGGCAAGGAAGGAGCAGTGGAGTGGTCAGAGCATTGCTGATGCTGAGGCAGGAGCTGAGCACTCCAGGACTGTTCTCTGCAGACATGTCCAGGGCAGCTCTTCCACTGCCCTGGGATTGAGGAGGTGCTTGGACAAACAACAAAGCATCCTTGATGTGGATCACAGCTGAATTGTGCTGCTGTCAGGCAGATCCAGGTCACCAGTTGAACTGGGATGCTCTTCCTAATTGCTCCTTCCAGTGCCTGAAGGAGCTACTGGAAAGATGGAGAGAGACTATTGACAAGGGCCTGGAGTGGCAGGACAAGGGGGAATGGCTCACACTGACAGAGAGGAGGGTTAGTTGAGATTTTAGGAAGAAATTCTTCCCTGTGAGGTGCTGAGGCTCTGGCACAGGTTGTCCAGAGAAGCTGTGGCTGCTCCATCCCCAGCCAGGCCCGGTTGGATGGGGCTTGGAGCAATCTGGGCTAGTGGAAGGTGTCCCTGCCCAGGCCAGGTGGACCTGGATGGTCCTCAAGGTTCCTTCCAAGGCTCATGCCTTGTGGTTCTATGATTCTACAATATCTGCAGTGACTATAAGAGCCATAAGTCAGGGAACAGGAGCTATGGATTTCTTCCCTTAAGCCATCTCTATTAGCACTTGATTCACTCATGTGGCAAATATCTGAGAGGGGAGAGGAAAAGTATTATAACAACCTCTGCTTTATGGTGCTACTTGCAAGATCTACAGCTCCAGGGAGGGATTCTTGTGTTTCCTTCAGTGAGTAATGTCACAGCAGAGGCAGAGGATGTTTCACCTCAGCAGCTCTGCTGTAGGTAACAGGGAAGTTAACGTTCTCAAGGAACTCAGGAACATGAGGCCTGACTGATAATGGTAAGAATTAATATTTAATTGGACTTGGCCATGATATTAATCATGTGTATATGTTGCATTTTGTATCCATCCATCACACTGTCACTGCAGTACACAATAGAGATTCTTTATGGGCCCAGACAAACAGCTTCAGCTTGAAAGGAAGCAGAAATATAGAGTGTGTCTTTATTTCAGCCTTTGACTGAAACTATTGATAATCTCAGAGATATAATTACTTTTCTCCCAGTGAATAAATAGCTGCTTAAATGCTCAAGCCATCACATACATCAAGTCAGCAGCTGCTGCAAAACTCAGTGTGGCTTGGAATCATATAATCATTGAGGCTGGAGGAGACCTCTAAGATCATCAAGTCCAACCATTAACCTGTCACTGCTGGAACCCCTAAACCATATCCTCCAGTGTCAGATCCAGACACCTCTTAAACACCTCCAGGGATGGTGACTCCACCACCTCCCTGGGCAATATCCCAGTGCCTAAACACTTAACTACTTCTGTTAGCATACCCAGATTTCTGCTGTCTGACTCTCAGGGCTGGAAATCCTGCTGAGCTCTGGAGAATTGGACAGGGTGCTTTGCTGCCTCCTCCCAAGCAGCTAAATTGTTCCCCCTCCTCTGATCACAGCACCTTGTTCCTGATGGCAGTGGCAGGAGGACCCAGCTCGACTTGCTGCACACAGGGGAAGTTCTGGTAGCAGCACTAGCAAAACTGAAATGAAATCAAATCTTTTGACACATAAGTGGAGGAAAATTGCTGCTGAATCACTGGGAGGGAAGAGATATGAGAGCTTAAGATGACATTTCTGCAGGCATAATTTTTACTCTAATGGCCTCTAATAGGATGTGCAATTCAGGGTGATGCTGTGAGCTGCAGCAGAGAGAGGAGTTCACAAATGTGGTAACTCAAACTGCTTGGAGGAATTGTTTCCCTGCTGCAGTTAATTAGCAATGTATTGTGGTTTTCCTGTTCTGTTTGCTTATTCAGCTTGTGAAAGGGTAGCTGATGTCTTGGCTGTTCCTTCCCATTTTTTTAGGGGATTTCCTTAGCCCTTTCTGCAAATAAATGGAGTCACTTGTGCCTTGCAGTAAGTTGCCTTTGCTGTCCAGCTCTGGGCAGACAATTACTATGCCAGATAGCTCCCCAGTGCTGAGAGTCAGAGGAGCAGCTGGATGCAATGCCAAGGGAAGCACCATCTGTCCTAATAAACACCACAGAAAATACCTGTTTGAATTCAAAGGTCACTTGATTTCCTGGGAGAAGGAAATCAGAGCAGCAGGGGGAAATCCAAATGCAATAAGCTGCAGTGACAGAGGGCAAGGTTACCCAAGCACATTGTGGCTGAACTCAGGAGGGAGGTTAGCCCAGGAAAAGAGATGTTTGTCCTCTGAAATCATAATGGTCTTGAATTCTGACCGTGATGGTGTGATAGACTCAGAAAAGTGGAGGTTGGAAAAGACCTCAGGAGGTCTCTGATCTAGTTCTCCTCTCAAACAGGACCAAACTCAGGTATTCATTGATAGACTCAGAGAAGTGAAGGTTGAAAGGATCTCTGGAGGTCTCTGATCCAGCTGTGCTCTCAGGACCAAACTCCAATCCATCTTTACCCAGAGGAATATTCCATATCTTTGGGGCTGGATGCCCTGACTTACTCAGCCCGTGAGGCAGAGAAGGCAAGTCCAAAACTACACCCTGTTCCTATTCTCCAGCATCTCCTTGTCCCAGGGGGGAAGGCTGTGCCAGTGGGACAGGGCTCAGCCCCACTGACTGCCACAGCTGCAGCTCGAGCTCCATCAGAGGAACATCTCACCCACTGCCCTGCCAGAGCAGCTGCTGTCAAACACACCAGCTCCTCCAAGTGAGGCTTTCCAGCCTGATTTCCAGGCACACACAAAACCAGCAGAGAACGTCAAAATGATCAAATTGCAATCCTTGACTACTTGTTTCAACATTTTTTTCCCCTGTGACATTTTGAATCTTGTTTCAGAGAGACTTGTAAGAAATGTTTTCTTTTGGCACTTTGATATCATTTCAACCCTTTGTGTGGAATCTATCAGCTGATCTTATCAAAATACAGCGATTCAGTTGACTACACATGAGTTTTATTTTTAAAGAAGTCCTTTAAAAATGGAAATTCTGAGATTTTTATGCTTATTTGGCACAAACCCTTTGGTTCTCACTCAGATCTTGATGAAATAAATTGCACATCTCAAGGGCATCTCTGCAATGCACACACACACACAGTGTGTATGTGTTGCACTTGCTTATGTCTTGTTTTAATGTGCTGCTGGCACTGGGAAAATCTCACAGGCATCTCCTGAGCTTTAGTGTGTGTTTGCTGATTTAATTTCTCTAATTCATGATCCTACTGACCTCATCAAATTGACTTTTATGGCCATTCAGCAGTGAGTCTCTCTCTACATGCACATTATGCCTCGATGTTGAGGCTTGACTCAAATAAACCTCTGACAGATCATTCATTCCCTTTAGAAACAGTTATTAAACCGTGGCCACTTCTTCAGCTCAGGGTTGGAACCTGTGGGGCAGCATATTCCATCATTTCTGTGCTTCCCAAATGTGGAAATTACATCTCTGGTATGATCATTATTCATTGGCTAAGAAAATATATTCCTCAGGCACATGGCTGAGTGGTAGGTTTAGTTATTTAGAAGACCTGAGAATTTATGGAAACTTCTTGTGTCCCTGGACCCTAAGTGTCCTGGCACAGATCTGGAGACATTAGTCCTGACCTGTTTCTTTGAAGCAGAAATCCAAAGGTATTTCATTGGGAACCTGGGGCAGGTCAGGACCACCAGAAGTCTGCAATGGGATATTTGCTGATCTGCTCTGCTTGTGGAGGTAGAATCGTCTCAGAGCAACCAGATCTCCAGTTCTAGGTTTGCTGCACCTTAGAATCATCAAGGCTGGAGGAGACCTCGAAGATTTTCAAGTCCAACTCTTAACCTGTCACTGCTGGAACCCCTAAACCATATCCTCCAGCACCAGATCCAGACACCTCTTAAACACCTCCAGGGATGGTGACTCCACCACCTCCCTGGGCAATATCCCAGTGCCTGAACATCCTCACAGGGATAATATATTTTCCTGTATTTTGCAATGCAGGAGAACCAAGCTGGAGAAAGCACTTTACAATCTTACCTTCAGAAGACTTGGAAGGCTCTTTCACTAATGGTTGCTGTCTCACTTGTCTCCTTGCAGGTACTATGCTATCTGCTGCCAGCCCCTGGTTTACAGGAACAAGATGACTCCCCTGCGCATTGCTGTTATGCTTGGAGGGTGCTGGGTAATCCCAACGTTTATTTCTTTCCTCCCTATCATGCAAGGCTGGAATAGCATTGGCATCATTGATCTGGTGAGTAGCTAAGGAGGTGCAACAACTAAATGTATTTGGTGCTGTATGTTCTTCTGTAGAAAGCAATATTCAGGGAAAAGGAGGACAGGGAAGAGAAAGGAGAAATTCTGTCGATGCAGAGGCTGCTGAATTTTTGGAGGGTATCTCTGAGGAGGTTTGAAATGTGACTCTGTCCTGGAAGGACTGATAGAGGGGCAGTGGTGACTCGGGGAGAGGATGTCCTTTGAAAACATGTCAAGCCCCAGGTGGCCCCTGGAAACACCTCAGGAGTCCTTGGTTCCCCTTGGTTTTGCAGCTCTCAGGTAAGTGCTGGTCACTGCTGTGTCAGCCTGAGGGTCTCTCCTTGCCATGCAAATGATGTTTGGAGAGCCAGGAACCTCAGAGTGCCCCAGAGGGGATAGTGCTTTGGGCCAGTACCATCTGTACCCCCTGTTTTACTGTGTGCCTTGAAATGAGGAGAAGGTGAAACTGTGCAAGTCATTTGAGCAGGACTCACTTTCCCTCAGCACAGTCTGGCTTTGCTTGCAGGTCCCTGTCAACAAGGGAAGGAGCTAAGAGCTGCAAATCTGTTCTCCTTCCAATGCAGAGATATAGGAATTCAAAATGGCAAACTGTGAAAACACCTTATTTAGAAGAGCTTCCTTCAAAGAGATATGGCACCTTCTCTGCCAACTCTCAGCCAAGGAGCTATGAACACTGAACAATAACAGGTGCAAACTGCTGAGCCTCTCGACAAGGTGATAAAGTCCAAATTGCTGCCTGTCAAGCACCTTTAGGACAAGCAGCTGCTAGAAAAGGGAGGTGTATTTTGCTCATTTATCAAACCATGTCAAGTATCTGATTTCTTCCCCTGATTTCTTGCCCCACCTGCCCAGGAAAGACCCGGCACCCATCTGTCTGCACCAGCTCATTAAACACCAGTGCAAGCCCTGCCCTTCCTCCTAACCTGCTGCTGCTCATGTGCAGACACCAGTAGCTGCACACTGAGAGGTAGTGCAGGGTTCCAACTCCAGCTAGTGTTTGCTTCAGGTCAACTTCCTTTCATGCCCAGTTAGATCATTTTGATATTATAGTTTTAAATAGGAGATAGGATTAATCTCTTGTAGGAGTAAACAAGAGCATGTAGTGACAGGACAAGGGGCTATGGCTTCACACTGACCCAGAGGAGGCTCAACTATAGCAATCACTGTCCATCCTCTTACAAAATAAACCCAGTGTTGTACTTACAATTCTTTGTGTTACACTGAGGCAGTCTAAGATGCACTTTGCCCAATAGTTTGGCAAATGGCTTCAAACTAAGAGTAGTTTTAGATTAGATATTAGGAAGAAATAGTTCCCTGTGAGGTGGTGAGGCACTGGCACAGGTTGCCCAGAGCAGCTGTGGCTGCTCCATCCCTGGGAGTGTTCCAGGCCAGGTTGGATGGAGCTTGGAGCAGCCTGGGCTGGTGGGAGGTGTCCCTACCCATGGCAGGGGGTGGGATGGGATGAGCGCTAAGGTCTCTTCCAACCCAAACCATTCCAGAATTCTATAAGGAATGGCTTTAAACTGACAGAGAGTAGGGTTAAAATGGATATTGGGAAGAAATTCC